TTAGCTGAAATGCCACCCAGGCGATCAAGAAAAATAGGTAACTTAAACTGTCTTCCGATTCTACCGTTTAACCTCTCTAATGAGGGAAGGATCGGTTTTGCCAAATAAATTACTCGTCACTTTTTTATCAATGGACATTAGAAAGATAGACTTTCGCAGTTATGATGGATGCAAAAGTCATTGGATGGCAACGTTGTTTCCTGTATGATCACTAAAATGTCGCCTGCATATTCCAAGTTAGAATGATATCAAGTAGGGTACTATGAAAAGCGTCTCTTACAGAATCTTACTTTTGAATTTTCAGATCAACGCTTTTCAGGAAAAGCCGATAACCGTATCGAGAGTAAACGAGAAAGAACAGGGTACCGCGGCAAGCATCACAGTAACAAGGAAAACTCAGTCTTCGGCTGGCATTACTAGCAGATATGGTTTTATAGTATATTTCCTATAGGCTGAAAACGAGGCGTTAAGCAATTCATAGAATCTTAAGATTAATTATGTATAACTCTTCCAGGACAAGATTTCACCGCGTATTGATCGCTTCCTCGCACCCAGTTGTCTAGGGATGCAGGCCACGGCCCCACGGTATTTGAGCACCTGTCAGATCAGGTACTTTTCACATCATTTGATTCGCTAAGGCCAAATCGTGCTCAATAAAAACGATATTAGCTGGTACTCCTCACTGTTACCTCAAAATGCGTTCGTACGCAGAGTCTCTTCAGATCTATATATCAGTGAACGACGCCCAAAATCAGACGCTACTTTAAAGTCAATGAAAGTAGCATAACAGGGTAACTGAAAACGGAATTGCCGATACTCATAGGTGCGAATATTTTGACTAAAGTGGGAATGCCCCTTTCGAACGCTTGCCATATTTCAAAGAAATTTCCTCTCAACCGTTTCTCCAATAAATTTCAAGACTCATGTGAATCACTTACACTGAATAAAGGCAGCGCCAAACCACGACAATTCCAGTAATTAGCCTCATGCTGCATTAGAATCTATAAGCAATGTGGTATCAGACTCGAAGTCTCTCCGCAATCGTTGTTAGGCCCACACCTGATGAGAGGGTAGAATATTTCTATCATTTACGTTCCTTATATCTGATTAACTACAGGAAAAATTTATCCACAGTGTCTATCTTTATTACCTAGAAGTGTAGACATATCAAATGCGTCACGGACTCGAACGCGATTCATTACCCGTTATCGCTAGCTCAATTACCTTTAGTTTTGCTGAAATCGATCGCTGATTCCTGAAAAGTGTCCGCCCTGAACGAAGCAGTCTGCTCCCGCAGTATCAGCAAATGCTTGATGACAAACAGGTGGCTGTTTAAAGCGTCCTGAAAGTTCAATCGCCTTGCACAAGATGCACATCAACAATGCGACTACCTTTTTCTCACGTATTCGTTTGGCAGCGTCTTTCACTGATATTAAACAAGTCCCGAGCATCTGTTCCAGTATTCCTTGAAACACTGATGCCTGAAGAGGGTGTTAGTGTCTATAAGAACGCTTTACACAAAGAGAGGTACTTCGAGGCAGCGGTAGAGCTTTGCCAAACACATCACTGTTCGCTGAACCGTTGGATACCACAAACCATGAAGATCTGCTGCTGAGATTTTACCTAAATGTCCACATTTGATCATCAGCGTAGAAGCGGTGCAGATATTCATGCAACGATGGGCTTACTGAACGACAACTTTGAATTTGCATGTAACTATGAAAACTGGCAACGAGGAGACAGATGGAGGCACAGCAGCATGACATCATCAATGTAAAAAAGTTGAAATCGTCGAAAAACAAGGACTTCGAATCAACTGAAACTGGTCGGAAATTCAACCATCGTGCCGAAGAACAAAGAAGCCAGCTAGATATTAATGACGAATACCCAGAGTGAAGTCAATCCTTTATCGATATTGCCAAACAAACCACCGGGCTCAAACAGAACCAAAAAATTACACGTTTCATAAAATACCACTGTTCACGGCAGTGAAGAACCAAGCCAAAGCCCCTACGTTGGAACCGCGCGCCGATAATTTGAGAACGGACCACCGACTTCTTGTGAAGACGGTGAACAAAAGCAACGACTGACATAAACAGTGCGGCTTAATCCAGGATACCAGTGGATACAGTTTATATTCGTACAAAAGTTTAAATCGCAACGCAGACTATGGACTGCCATTACCGTCCGACGCTAAGAATTGTCTATTTCATCATTGATGATCGACTTGTGAATTTACCGCATAGCCCACTGGCCAGAGACTCAAATAACAAAGAGAATGAGTTCAATGGTTGTGCGTTCAATGCACATTAAATAATTTGTGGGAGAGCTCAAAGAAGACTTTTCTGGCAAAATGCAACAACGGAAGCCTGTGTTTCACAACAGCTTAGCCTCAGAAACATGAGCTGGACAAGAATAACCCGAGCATCCCTAACAGGACGCTTATACGCACTTTGCTTGAAGGAACGGCAGATGAACTGAAAGAAGTTATCCACGCTGAAATTCATACGTGAAAAATCTGATCTTACTACCTAAGTTAGTTAAAAAAAGGCAGATTAAGTGGAAGCATCAAACGTTTCATGAGCAACATAAGGATAGTACGCCACTCTTCAACAAAATTGGGTAGTTTATAAAATATAAGTGGAAGATTACATAAATGGGAGCAAGTTGAGAATGCATAACGTATGAAAATACACTAGACCATAATATATGAGCAGCAAAGAGGAAACCATAAAACAGAAGGCAGAAGCAGATGTTTCCGCAATGCAGGTAATAACTGTTCTGTCAAAGCAGAATCATTCTGAAAAACTGCATCATACAGAGGAACTAAGATAGAACAATATGGACAAAAGTCAACTGATGGAATGACGGAAATTCAGGAAAGGTTTACTGGAGAACGAACTCGGCAAAACGAAGAGACATGAGAAAAAAACAAAACTACTTTAGCATGGCTTCAGGTGCCATGAGGCATAACTTGAATTAATAATCGTCTTCGTCGACCATTGTGTGGAAATCATGCGCCCTATTTAAATTAATTCTTACTTAGAATACCCGTCTGCGTGGAGGTCTTCGATTTGGGCGCTATCAGCTCCTTGGGGTAGCAGTCGGTCACTACTGAATTCCATCAACCATTAGTCAGTCTTGCTATGCAGTGCGCCATAGACCGACATGAGGTCACGCAGGGAACTGAGAGCAATTTTTCGGTGCATTTCATTTCATTCGATCTTGGCACATACTTTCGGTCACTATCAACGCTTGCCAGGCGTCTTGGACAGAACATCCGTTTGCCTTTCATCCCGACGGAACTGAGTTACAGGTGAAGGCTCCATGAGTCTTGACGAGCTCATGCAAAGCCACTTCTTTTCGAAGAGTTTCTACTTCGTAACAAGGATTTCATTTGGCGAAAACCCAAATTCTATAGGAAATTATGCGTGCGGAGGAGTAGGAGTAATTACACCAAGTCTACCTACCCAACTGGCAGTTCGACACCTTAAAATGGAAACCACAGCAGATCTTGCAGCAAATTCTAATTAGTCGCGCATTCCCTGAATTTATACAGCAAACAGCCTTTTATACCAGGTCAACAAAAATTTCTACATTTTAAAAAAATGTTTAGATACTTTAACTAGAAGTTAATGCAATGTCAAATTTTCCTGTAAACATCCTGTTGAGAATATGCCATTATGAATAATACTACGCAAACTTGTGAAAAACTGAATTTAATAACTTCAAGTTTCTTTATGAATTATCGAATGCAGGCAGTGACTTTGCATGCAGAACTGCTACTCATTATGTAATGACTAAAAACAGACGTGATAGCGATCACAGTGTGCAAGCGGTGATTACCTTGAGCACTTTCCGTAGAGCCTCCGGATCCACGGTCATTCGCTATTGATTTCTTACCATCGACAGCCGTCGACGCATCGGACTGCAGTTTTTCAGAAATTTCCTAACAGTAGAAAATAGAGCCGTCAAGTAAAAGATTACGTTGCATGATTAAAAAGGTGTATCAAATTAAGGTAACAGAAACACGTTTCGTTAAACAACCCGCAAAACGTTTGGCAGATTAGTTCTCAGATTCACGCGTGCTCGAACCGACTTATAGCTGATTTCAATGAAACGACCGAACAAACCCCAACTTATAAAAACGCTGTACCCCTACATAACGATTCCTGATTCCAATTTAATGTTTGCATGCAATTTCAACTATGATGCAAAAACTAACATTCACAACTTTAGTCATAATTTGTCTTATACGCACATTTTATGAGATAACTTTCCATATATTACAAAGACGCAATCAGACTTAGCACAGGCTGGCATACTTTCACGAAATGTCTGAGAAATGGTATTCAGAACGAGCCGTATTTTAAACATTCAGTTCGATAACACTGACGCGTGCCGTGATGCACAGACATTTGGAGATGGTAGATGAGCTGATTTCAAAACAATGATCTTCTCTTTTTTTGTTATAGATCGATGCTTCCTTCTGTCATGCAGCTAGTCAAAATTCACTGATTCAAAGTCAAATCGCCGGTACCTTTCTGCATCAACGTCGCCATCGCTAGCCAACACCGAAGTACATGATATGGTCCATCTCATCTAACACAATACAATCTCCTAATATCCTCGGAGTGACGGCTGCAGAATATGCCGTCATAATCTTCGTCTTCTTCACGATGACTCATAGCCCCACTTTCACCGCAGTGTAGCACGTTCCTTCGGTATCAGCTGGTCACCTGCGGAGTCGCTCAGCAGCACGATGCAATCTGTGCACTCAGATAGAATGATGGACAGGTCGTCTGAATCTCGAATCAATGGCGACATGAGCCTCTGGTCAGGAAACACCGTCCGCAGTTCGATTTGGAAAAAGGACAGTAATTGACAGCTTATCTAAGATGCTTGGCAATTTGAGAGTATTGTTATATGCAATAACGACGAACGGATGGAATATTCAGCAGTTTTTACCATGGCTTAGTGCTGAAAATACAGTGAAGCTGCTATACTTTAACAGCAAGCTAAGATATGCTGAAACCAGTCCAAAATTTCGGAGCCACCACAGAATGACTGGTAATGCACGACAAAAAGTTATGCATGTCACCCGCATGCCCAAAAGACCAAAAGAACCTCAAGGCGACAAGCCGTGAAGAAGGATTTGAAACTTATAAACAGTCAGCTTGCTCAGCGGTTGCATGTTGTGTGCGTCTGCATGTTTATTTTCTGGCATTCAGCCTCTGTGTCCAGTGCCCGCACCAGTGACCTGTAAGTAGGAGTTAAAGGAGCTCACTAGCGAGCAAAGGCAACTGGGCCCCTTATAAATCAGATGCCTCGAACTAGTATGAGGGGGGGGGTTAACAAG